AGCCACCCAGGGATCCCCTTTTTAGGACTTAATCCTTTTTGAAATCTACGCTCGTCCTAAGAGTTAATCACGGAAGAAGGAAATGTCGTGTGGAGCTAGAAATCCCTCGTGGGTATGGATGCCCAGATAGCTAGACGTCTGCCCGCCGAATGCCCTTTATTTAAGAGTATTTGTTAGCACAGCTCATGCTGAATAAAGACTGGGGTTCACACTAGCAATCGAAACTTCAAAGACTCCCATCAATGTTCACAATCACGCGTCCTTCTCTGTGTAACGGGGAAGCATAAGAGAGCACAGCGAGGCCCGGGGACGCTTGGATCTTGCAGACAAAAGGGAATATCCACTCCGCACCACGCAAAACGGCTCTAATCGGAAAGCCTGCGTTTGCAAGAACTAAAGACACTGTGGTCGTAACTTGGGGTGCAAGGCCAGTTAATTCGCCAAGCGCTTGCCGCGCACCGAACCGCGCACGGCTCCGCTCAGTCCAGGTCACGGGTCAGAACATATCACAGCCGCAGCGTCCACCCTTGAAGAGCTGATTTAGTGACACCAGAGAATCCCAATTTAACACATAACGTTTCTCCTCCTTAGAAGCAAACCAAGAACTGAAAGACAAAAAGCTAAGCTCACGTCTCCCGCGAAGCCGCTTCTGGATGGCTCCCTGCCACTTACCAACATGTTCCCGCCAACGGAATAGCCTTAAAAGAGAAAAACACGGTTCTCAGCACTTTCTTCCTCCCAAGCAAAAGGAAGGGACTACCTTGATGACCACCAGCGAGCGCCCTGGCAAGGACGGTAAACCGCCTCACCCTGCTCCTCGGGGTCCTCTAACACCTGTCCCGAAACCTTGCTTCCTGCTCCTGCAAGGGCCCCCCGCGTGCAGTCTGGGACCCGCTCGCTACCTGTCGTGTTGCGCACTCGTGCGTCGTAAGCTCCACGGGGACACTGGGGTCTCCGTAGCCACGGCCGCGTCCCCAGCGCTTAGCCAGATGCCTGCCCCGCAGCCAAGGCTCAGCGGACGCCTGGAACGATGGCGGGCATTCTCCATGGTGACAAATACGACCACACCAATAATAGGAACAACAGCAAGTCGGCGATGATAATGATGGCGATGATGATAAACCATAGCGCCATGACGCCACATGGGCTGAGCCACTGGCCGATGGCCACTAAGCCGTAAATTTCTCGGACCTCACGGCCCCGCCGCGTGGGTACGATCCTCACCACACCTTACGGATGAGATGACCAACGCTCGGAGAGGGCAAGCAACTCCTCTGCTGTTGGTCGACTGACTCTTTCATTCACGCGTTCAACAGATGTTACTGGGGATCTACCTCGTGTCAGGCCCTGTCCTGGGGATCGGGGAGGTAACACACATCTTCCTCCTTGCAAACAACTCCTTGCTTCCACGGAGCGGACAGTCCAGTGGCGGAAAGCAGACACCTACTCGCTGAGTAAATGACATAAAGTCAGAAAGTGGTGAATGATCAGAAGGAAAATAAGTCAGGGGAAGGGGCTCAACGGGGACGGGCTGGCTGCCTCACGTGGGGTGAGGTGAAGGCTCGCTGGGGGGAGGGCAGCCAAACCAAGTCCCGAGTGATGGAAAGCAGTGAGCCGCTGAAGACCCACAGGGAAACTATTTCAGGCAGAGGGAACAGCAAGTGCAAAGGGCCGGAGGCTACGGTGTCGCCAGTATGTTCCGGGAACAGTAAGGCTGCCGTGTGTGTGCAGGTACAAGTGGAAGAGGAAGGGAGCAGAGTCGCCGCACGGGTTAGACTGTGTGAGCACGGCAGGTGGACACAGCCTTGGCTTCGGGGGGGGGGGGCACCAGGGGGTCAGAGCCAAGGAGCCACGGGGTCTGTCCTAGGTCCTCCCTGGCAAGGGAGAGCTAGCGGGGCACAGTCATAGGAACACTACAGCCACACCCACGCGAGCAGGGGGCTGAGAGGAGCCCGGGCTCCGGAGGGCTGCATGAAGGCCTGCGAGGAAGGGAGGCCAGGACTAGCCCAAGGCTCCTGGCAGGTGACGGAGGAGCAGACCGAGGCCTAAGGAAGTCCGGAACCCACCGAATCCCTATTCAGAGCAAGAGGCCTACGGGCCGTGCACGTGGACAGGGTGAGCTGCCGGCTGGACACGCGTGGGTCTAGCTCACTGGGACAAAACGGGGGCAGGTTTTCTGTCTCAGTTACCAGCATACAAATGGCACGTAAAGCCCCGCAGTGGGATGAGATCATTTCAGGAGTGAGCAGAGGAAGGGGCAGGGGAAGGCAGGGCTGGCCTTGGGCCCCCGCAGCGGAGAGGAGGCGGCCGAGTACGGCAAGGAGTGGTCCTGCGGGCAGCGGACCTGAGAGAGGTGCCCCCGGGGCCGGAGCCCCCCAACGGGGCCGGCAGGTCGGCCAAGCCCGGCCCCGCGGCGACCCCTCACCTGGCAGCGGGGGCAGGCCCTGGACACCTGGTGATGGCAGCGGCTGGCTCGCCTCCGGTCCGACCTCCCCGCCCCTCCTATGACTCGGCTCGCGTGCTCCCTCCATCACGGACCCTTCCTTCCCCAGCACCCGAGTCAGAGGCCGCTGCCGTGACGGTCACCCTGTTTCAGAATCACCCGTTGGTGGCTACGTCTAGATACTCGCTGAATGGACGGGTCCTTGGATTAATAAAAATACGCCAGCGAACTTCCTTCCTTCAGAGCAAGAGCGACCTCCCAGCGGCGCAGCGACACCGGCTGCTGAGAGGAGACTCGACCGGGGTCCTCGGGATCTGGGCTCTGCCCGTCGGCCCCTGGGCGGTGGGCCCTTGGGTGAGGGCTCCGAGCTTCTGCGACACTTTCTTCACCTTTGACGTGAACAGATGGGCTCGCACCTGCTCAAAGGTCCTCCTACGCACCTCAGTGCCTTCTCAGGTGAGAGACGAGTGGTGAATGCCAGCGGCACTAAGCGCTACTGTGCCTTCTCCTACTTAAACTACAAAACCCCAAAGATGGCTCCTCTGCTTCCTGGCCTCGGGCACAGCACACTGCTAGGTGGGAGGTAAGCGTCCTTGGATTCGGGAGATCACAAGCACAGGTCCCTTCTGGTCCAGGACACGGCCACTGGCCCGGCCTTCCCCGCTCTGCCGGCCTCTCATCCCTCTCAGTCCCTCCAGGGTCGCTCCTGGGTGCATTATTCCCAAGCACCCAGCTCTGCCACTAATTTTGTGCCTCTCGACCCTGCTGGTTCCTGGGTTCAGGAACTCCAGACCCAGGTTCTACAGCACAAGCCGGGATTCTGGGAGTGGGCGGGCCCAGATAACCCAGCCCATGGGACTCGGGTGCTCGCGGCAAGTGGCGGGTCGTGTCAGCCTTTGGGGATTCCTGCGTGCCAGGCTCAGAATCCGTGCTCAGGGAGGACCATCTACCCCGTCGGGAGCATCCTGCTGGGGACCGAGAGGGGACAAAGGGAGGTCCACTGGAGGGAGAAGAGATCAGGAGCATGGCGAGCCCACACTGCTGGCCCCTTGGCCGGGATGGTCCCTAAGGCACGGGGCCGGGTCAGTGCCCACGGTGCTCCGGGACGGGGCCTGTGCTGAGCTGTTCCCTGCATGGTGGGAGCTGCAGGGGCATGGGGCTGGGGTCGGCACGGAAGGCGCACACCCGAGTGCCTTGTAGGGGCGCTGGCCGCAGGTGCCGACAGGGCTAATGGGGGGCTGCACAGAGGGGTCCCCCTGGAACTGGCCGTGCCCCTCGCCCCGCGTCTCCCTGACAAGCCCCAGGAGGCCGGCTGCATCTGTGCCTGGCTCCTGGCCGCACATCGGCGGGAAGGGAGGCAGGGAGGGCAGAGGACGCCCCCCCTCCCCCTGGAGATCAAGCTTGCGTCAGTTGTGCCTGTCACCCCAGAGTCCCTGCTTCCGTCAGGGTGGCCTGGTCTCCCAGACTGTCCTCCTGGGTTCCGGGGAGCGCCCCCTCCTGGGCCTGACTCCTCGGAGCGCTCGGCCAGGTTCCCCTGCGGTTCCCCGGGACCCCAGCCACCACCTCTGCCTTTAATTCCTTCCTCGCAGCCGGACGGCAGCTCTCTGGGCCCCTCGCGGGGCTCTCACTGGTGCACGGGCCTCTGGGGTAGGGACACGCGCGTCCCTGGGCCCTGATCCCCAGACACCGTGGGCTCTCCCGTGAGGAACCACGTCTCGTTCATCTCAGCCCTCCCCCTGGTGCTTGTGTTTGTGGGAATTTCTGGTCACGGGGCTGCTCATTCATCCTTAAAAGATGTTCCTGTCTCCTGGGTCCATGGTTCCTCCGACCCAGTTGGTCGCGTGTGGCTGTGCTCCAACGCTCCCCGGGGGAGGGCCCGAAGTTGTCCCCCCTTCACCTCTGGCCCTTCTCACCTGTGCCTCACTCAGGAGGCCAGACTCCCACGAAAGCCTTTTCCTGCCCAGCGCCCTGAAGCTGCGGTCATTACGTCAATGCCACGGGCATGACCTCAGAAGGACCCTAAATCTCTCTCCACCTAATTTCCGAGATTGCAACATCAAGATAAGGGTAATATCGACTTCACAGGGCTGCTGGGAGGGTAAACACAAATGCGACGTCCTGTAAAGTTCCTCTTGTTTCCCACAGGAGCCGTCAGTGCCCATAAAGAATGAGCAAGTTCTGTGAGCCGCGGCCCTACCCCGCCTGACTGGTCTCCGAGGGGCAGGGGCTTCGTGGGCACCAGCACGGACGGGCCGTGGTCCTGCCGGGAACCCTGGGGGCACTTCACGGGTCGTCTCCTTTAACCTCCAAAAGAATCGTGTGCCAGGGAACCTGTTGTCCCCGTCACAGGCTGGGAACTGGGAACGACAGGGGTCCCCAGAAGAGGGGGTGCCCGGCCAGGGGCGGTGACCCCTCGCCTCCGCCGGGGGCCCGCTGGCCTGTCCGGGTCGCGGGCGGAGACCAGCTGGAGGCCGCTGCAGCAGGTGCACAGGTGGGGAGGACGCGGGGCTCCCGCCCGGGGGCAGCCCCTGGGCCCCGCCCCCCCCCAGCCACTCACCTGAGCTCAGGGCGCGCTCCACGTCCCGCATGATGACCCCGGGGGCCGCGCTGGTCTCGGCGGCCGCGGTCAGGCAGGTGCCCTGGGTGGGCGCCGCAGGGCGAGCCGTGGGGTCGGCGGGGGGGCGCCCCGGGGCGCTGGGGGCTCCGGCGGGCGGGATGCTGGGGGCGGCGGGGGGCGCGGGCGGGGCCGGGGGTGCTGAGGGGCGGGCGGGGGCTGCTGCGGAGGGCGGTGCAGGGGGTCCTGTAGGGGGTGGTGCGGGGGGTCCTGCGGGGGGTGCTGGGGAGGGCGGTGCGGGGGGTCCTGCGGGGGGTCCTGGGGAGGGCGCTGCGGGGGGTCCGGTGGGGGGCGGTGCAGGCGGTCCTGCGGGGGATCCTGTAGGGGGTGGTGCGGGGGTCTTGCGGGGGGTCCTGGGGAGGGCGGTGCAGGCGGTCCTGCGGGGGATCCTGTAGGGGGTGGTGCGGGGGTCCTGCGGGGGATCCTGGGGAGGGCGCTGCGGGGGGTCCTGCGGGGGGTCCTGGGGAGGGCGGTGCGGGGGGTCCTGCGGGGGGTCCTGGGGAGGGCAGTGCGGGGGGTCCTGCAGGGGGTCCTGGGGAGGGCGGTGCGGGGGGTCCTGCGGGGGGCTCTGCGGGGGCCCGGGGCTGTGCGCCGTGGCCGTGGGCGCTGCGGGGCTGCCCTCGGGGGGCGAGGTCTCGCTGCCCGGCGCCTCCGCCTTGGGCCCCACGGAAGCGTCCTCGGGGGGCGCAGGTGTCGGGGCCAAGGCCGTGCCGGGGAGGGCGGGGCTGTGGGGCGCGCCCCCGGAGGGGGAGGCTGCGGGGCCTGGCGGGGGGGAGGTCAGGAGGGAGGTCACGGGGGAGGTCGGGGGGCTCGGGGGGGAGCTTGGGGAGAAGCTGGGTGGGGAGCTCGGGAAGGAGGTCGGTGGGGAGCTCGGGGGACCTGGGGGGGAGGTCGGAGGAGGGCTCTGCGGGGGGCTCGGGGCGGAGCTCGGGGCGCCGGTCCGCAGGGCCGCCGGGGGGGCGCCGCTTGCAGGAAGAGAGGCCGCCGGGGGGGCCGCGGCCCACGGGCTCCGGGTGCTGAGTCCTGCGGGAGAGCGGGGCGGTCAGTGCGGAGCCTGGAAGGGGCGGGGGCTCCCCGGCGCCCCGAGTCCGCCCCCCGCCCCCGGAGGCGCCCGGCCCAGCAGGCACAGGCGGCGGCTCAGCGCCCCCAGACGGGAAGAGCGCCCAGGCCGCCGGTCCCCCCGCCCCCCCGCCGAGGCTGCGGCCTCCCCGAGGCCTCCTGCCGCCGCCTCCACCCGCTCCCTGCAGTCCCGCCCACCGAGGGTCCTGCGCCCCGACACCTGCCAGGACGCCCCGGGCGGGCGCTGAGGGCGGCGAGGCCGCGGTCGCGAGAGCACAGCTGGAGGAGCTCCCGGATTGGCCGGTCCCCGTGATGGGAGCTCCCTGGTTGGCCGGTCCCCGTGATGGGAGCTCACAGATGGGCCGGTCCCCGTGATGGGAGCTCACAGATGGGCCGGTCCCCGAGACGGGAGCTCCCTGATTGGCCGGTCCCCGAGACGGGAGCTCCCTGATTGGCCGGTCCCCGTGACGGGAGCTCCCTGACTGGCCGGTCCCCGAGACGGGCGCTCCCTGATTGGCCGGTCCCGTGACGGGAGCTCACCGAAGCTGTGGCTCGGCTGGTCCTGGATTCCTGGACTCCCGGCCCCTCACCATCCCCCCCCCAGCTTTTCCCGTCTTCGTTTCCATTCAGTGGCCGGCACCCCCTTCCGCGGCCCCCTCCCACCCGGGCACCCCGTCGGCCCATCAGGAGGACTCCCGACTTACACCCACCGACCGCGCTTCCCCACCTCCACTCTCAGCATCACCGGGGCCGCCTGCTGCCACCTGCTGAGACAAGGCCACAGTCCCCTCATTGGTCCTCTGCCTTCTTGACTTTTCTCCCCTTCGGTCACTTCATACAGCAGCCCGTGGGAGCTTTTAAAGTAGTGAATCATAGCATGTCCCCTAACTGGTCCAAACCCTCCGGAGCCACTCTGCCGTACTTGGGACAAAATCCCGAAACAATCCCCCACATCGCCCCATGCTCCCCTCGGCATCCCGGCTGGTCTCTGCTCAAATGCCGCCTCCTCCTCTGAGGAGTCTTCCCCGATGACCCTAACTAAGAGCATCCTTGCTCCAGCTCTTTGCCTATTGTCTTTCAGGTCATTAAAATACATATGACATTAACCATTTTGACCATCTTCTTAAAGACTGATCTATTTCTTTGGTGGAGGGGCAGAGGCAGGGGAAGACAGAGAGAGACGAGGCTCAAGCCGACTCCACACTGAGCGCGGAGCCTGAGGGGGGGCTCCATCCCACGACCCAGGAGTCACGACCTGAGTCAAACCCGAGAGTCAGACACTCGGCTGAGCCACAGGTGCCCCCCCCGCCCCCGTCTCAAGCATCGTCAGGTGTACAGCTCAGTGGCATTAAGTATTCTCACATGATCGCTCAGCCATCATCACTAACTCACCTCCAGAACTTTCTCCTCTTCCCAAACTGAAATCTGTACCGTTAAATGAGGGTGACTCTCCTGTCTTCCCTCTCGCCAGCCCTGGAAACTGCTATTCTACTTTCTGTCTCAATGAATTTCACTGCACTAGGTAATGCACATAAGTCAGGTCATATTGTGATTGTCCTTTTGTGACTGGCCTATGTTACTTGGCGTGATGCCTTCAAGTCTCATCCGTATGGTAACATGTGTCAGGATTTCCTTTCTTTTTAAGGCTGAATAATATTCCATTGTATATGCAAGACCATATTCTATTCACCCATTCATTCACTGGTGGACTTTGATGGGTTATTTCTACCTTTTGGCTACTGTGAATAATACCAAGAATCTGAGTGTGGGCACTTGACGGGATGAGCACTGGGTGTTATTCTGTATGTTGGTAAATTGAACACCAATAAAAAATAAATTTATTAAAAAAAAGAAAAGAAAAGAAACCGTGTCTTCAAGTCTTTGGAGTATATATCCAGATGTGGAAGTATTAGATCATATGGTAATTCTATGTCTGATTTCCTGAAGAACAACCATACCCTTTGCTCATTTTTTTTTTCATAAAATAAAAAAGTAGTTTCTTCCCCAAATCACATTATTGTTTATTTACTTATTATAAATTAATAAGTAATCTCTTATAAAGAGATTTTTACCTCTAATAAAGTAATCTCTTCTATCAGAACATAAGCTCCATGAGGGTATGGGGAACTAGTCTTATTCATTGCTGTTTCCCCTAAGCCCAGGACAGTGCCTAGGTCATGAAAAGTGTGCAGTAAGTACTTGCGGGAGGGAGGGAGGGAGGGAGGGAGGAAAGGAAGGAAGGAAGGAAGGAAGGGAGGAAGGAAGGAAGGAAGGAAGGAAGGAAGGAAGGAAGGAAGGAAGGAAGGAAGGAAGGAAGAGGAATTAAGAACTTTATCCAAAACTACTCCAGAATCTCTCTTTTCTCTTTTACGTATCACTTAGTATGGCCACATCCATCAGAGCTACCTTAGCAGTGGCTGCCTACCTGGTGTTACATGAGCGCAGGAACCTTGCTTTCAAAGTCAGCCTCACTCTGTCAATCTACCATAACATGTACCTATGCCTGATGTCATGTTAGGTCTTCAGTTTTTTAACCCTCCATACTCTGAAGAGATAGATATCCCTTGGGCCAACCATAATAAAGATTCATAAGGAATAAAACGGGCTAGATTACAGCACAGAGGAAGGGCGGAAAGGTGTATGTGGAGGCATTCAGGTACTTGGGGGAAAGCTGCTCACTTCTTCATTCTGGTGCACAGTAGACTCAGCAGCTCATGAAAAGTTGTGCTACAGAATCTATCCTGAAAACATAGTTTTCTCATATTTAACTGAATTCAATGTTTGAATTATTATCAAAGTACTTGGAGTTATCTTATGAAAAGGAATTGGTCCAGACCACAGCCTATAAGAGAGTTATTCTTCTAGTAAATAGGAGGGCAGACCTCCTAAACGAGCCCGCATAATAGTCCATGTTGCTATAGTGGACTTTTGGCAGCTCTGAAGCATCAGTGATTTCAGGATGAAAACACAGCAAGAGATCTTTAAAATATGGACAAAACAACAGTTGGGACAAATATTATTAAAACGCTGGATTTTCACGTGTGATCTTCGAAGCTTACTGGCTCTGCACCCTGGTAGCTCCCGTGGCTCATTATTCTGTGACCAAAACCAAAAAATGACCATGACTAACTACTGCTGATAGTATCACATAATAGATGGGCAGGTGGGGGCAGAGGCAGTCTCACTGGTAGCCGAGTCAGAGCCTTTGGAAGCCTGGGGTAAAGGAGGAAGGAGTCATACACAAAGGAGCACCACATTCATTCATTCTTTCTTTTATTCAGTAACTTCTATGCCTATAGCTTTGCCCTCTGAGAGTTCACTATCCAGCAGGGCAGAAAGGACACCCAACTCCCTGTAATAGGATGTGGTAAGTGCCTCACCGAAGTAAAAGCGGGTTACGGTGGGAGCCCGACAAATACCTCCGTACAGGGATCGTGGAATGCAAGAGTACAAATGTCATTTTCAAATGGCATTTAGGAAAGTCACAGAAGAGATGGCATTTGAGTTGGTTCTGAAAGGATAAGAAGGCACAAGATGCCACTTAAGGTGTATGATGTTCGGGTGACACCTGCATTGTCGTTTCCAGTGGAGCTAAAAGCTGTACCATGAAAATCATTACAGTGCTGGAAACGACACGCTCCAGTTATTGGTTTTGTTGCTAGAAATACCTGTTTCCTTGTTTAACTCTGACTAATACACTTTTATAACTCCTACCCGCCCTGCTTCCAAAGAGGACGGGAGGTGGCCATTCATTTCCCGTGGCTACCTTCTGGGCACTTATTTAAAATACTTTCCAGTCCAGCTCAAGCAATTCCTACTGCTAACACAACGACGACGATGCAGGAAATCGTGACAGGGCTGGCTGTCTTCACTTGAATAAGGCACTGGAAGCCTCTGCTTGCCTTATTGGATGGTGCATTCCAGACTGCTCGGATTGCATGGCGGTGGGTCTTCTTTCAGCACGAAGACACCCAAGGTCCACGATGACTACCCAGGGAGTGCCTGCTGTTCTCATCCCCTCAGGCTGCCAGAACAAAGTACTACGCACGCTGGGTGGCTTTAACAACAGAAGTCTACATCCCACAGTTTGGAGGCTGGAAGTCCAGGCAGGTGTGGGCCAATTCAGGTGAGAGCTCTATTCTAGGCTCACAGGTGGCCACCTTCTCTCTGTGCCCTCACGGGACCTTGGGCTCATGGAGAGAGAGAGAGGGAGAGAGAGAGCGCAAACCTTCTGCTAAAGTCACTAATAATCCCATCCTGAGGGCCCCACCTCATGGTCTCAGCTAATCCTAATCACCTCCCCAAAACCCCACCTCCAGACACCGTCACACTGAGAGTTCGGACTTCAACATTCCGAATCACTGACAGAGTCTGAGGAAGTATCGTTTTCTGCCTTCTCACATGATGGATTTGTGTTTCAGAGGAATATTACACTGAGTAAGTCAAACAGGATGTATACTTTCTCAGGATTTAAAAAAAAATGTCTTAAGAGCTGGGAAGAGGCCATGCGATGAGTGAGTACAGCTCCTCATTTGATAAATGGGGGAGAGACGCAGAGGGAGCAAGTGGTCTAAGTGGACTCCTATTCTAAGAGGAGGAGCTGGGCTGTGGTGCCCAGGAAGAATCACGTAGGGACAGATTCAGAACTAGAGCTTCCACCTCCAACATCACTCTCGCCCGCTGCTCTCCCCGCCCCCCACTGCACTGTGCCCTTGACTCGAAAAGACTAGTCGAATGTACAAGTAGCAACCGCCACTGCACAGTAAGCAACGGGGAGCCCGCGGGAGATGGGGCAGCCGAGTACGTGGAAATAATGCAGTGCCCCAAACCTTCCCATTCCAAATAGAGCTGCCTTCCCTAGAAGAAAAGAATGGCAGAAAAAAATAGAATGAAGAAATTGAACCCATTGATCTCTAAATTAGAGGCAAGTGTGCATCGTTCCAAAAACAGCAGCATTGCCAGAT